AAAAAAAAAAAAAAAAAAAAAACAGAGTTTTATCACATCCACATAATATATATCCTTCGTAGTTCACAACGTTTTACACACAATTCTCTGGCAATTCTCGGCTTTCTTTGCCACGATTGAGCATGGAAAGACAAAAAGGATGAGGAGAAAGGGGGGAAGAGAAATTTTGCGGCAGGTATCAACGTCAATGTCATCCATTGTCGTGTCAACGTCAGTTGAAAATGTCTCCTTTGCTTTTTATTCGCGGCTATGATAAAACACTTAAACGCTCGCATTACGATCAAACAGCAAAACAAATAGCTGCGAGTGATTTGCAGTTCTTCTTTCGTATTATCTCCTATTTTTATTTCGCTATTGTTTTCCGCGGAGATTCCCCAATTTAATTTATCCCTACTCTTTACACATATAATACACGGAGAGTACGCACTCGTCTTTTTGGAGATGATCGAAATTGTTCCAACTCGACTTGACAATACCGGAGGAATTTTATCAATCGACGAAATCGCGAGAATTTCAGTCGAAACTTTTGGGTCGAGTTTTGAAAATATCTTTGGAAACATGTCTGTTGAAAAAATATTAGAACATAGAACATAGAAGATCGAATTAGGATTTTTAAACTATTTATATCTTTAATATAAAAGTTATTTACCTGACACAAGAAATCAAGTCGAAACGATGTTGAATGATTAGAAAAATAATTTCAAGTTGATGATATTTCTGATGGGATATTTATCGATTAGCCAAAAAATTAAGTCGAAACGAGCTTTGAATCGAATTTCGAATTATCTAATCGAAAGCATCCTATTAAAAATAGAATTGTTTCAAATTGGCAATATCTTTGCTTTATTGTATTTTAAACTTATTCAACACAAAAGGTTAAAATTTCTGGGCCAAGTTGAAAGAATTTCACAAGAAATATATCCTATTGTAAAAAATTATCCTTCAAGTTCATAATATTTCTACTACAAGGATTTAACAATGGATGAACAAAAAGATACGGTGAAAGATCTTGGACCAAGTTTCGATTAAATTCTGCATACTGTTTGTAAAAGTTTCTGTCTTCAGAAGCATTAATCAAAACGAGCAGATAAAGAAATCTTAATCAACATGGATCTAATAACCATTCATTTTGTAGTTAATCCATTCTTTTTACTTTAAATTTGCAATAATATATTTTGTTCTGTCTCTATCTGAAACCACCATTTATACTTTGATATAAATATAAACTCAACACTGTATTAACGCTGTATGAATAAACATACGTATTAATATTATTCATAATTTTGATCAGAAGGATGTATATATCCGTTACCTTAATATTTTCATAGGTAACTTGCGATTATTTCTCAACTTTATTAACACTAAAACTATCAAAATGATCAAAACGACCAAACGAGTTCGTAATTTTTGTCAAATCTACAGATTTTTAGAAATTTAAATAATTTCTCGTAAAACGTGCAAATGAAAGCTCGTGCACCCCGTTATATTATAAAGTTTCTCTATTTTCTCTTTTTATTTCGATAATTCATCCCCGAGATTGACTACTATTATCCTATACTCACATCTGTTAAAAAAAAAGAAAAAATGCAAATGTTTTGCACGTACAGAACAGAAACATTCGCAAAGGAAAATAAAAAAAAAAAAAGGAAAAAAAGGTAGATAATAAATCATCGGTAGTCCCAGTGTTAATAACGCTGTTAAGTCCGCTCACATTCAAACACCGGAAACGGTATGGACGAAAGCATCGAAAACGTGTTGAGATGAATATGCGCGAGGTTACCACACGCCGTAAAGGTAACGTTTCGTTACTGATAAAAAAAAAAATAGTGTCCAACTGGGAAATTAATGGCTTTGAGACCCGTGTTTATTGAGACTTCGTTGCTCGCTGCCAAAGTACTCGCGAGACAAGGCCGAGGAAGAAGTGGTTCGATAAAGACAATCATAGACGTTCGTTCGAGTGTCCCGCACACAAGTGGCGTTGGATCGCGTTTCCTGGAACACTTTGTTCTCCTCAACAATTCTGATCGTGCTCGTGCTGATGGAAAGTGTCACGGTAAAGGGAAGTCGGCGTGCGATGCATCATCGTCACGTAGGAGCTTCCTGAGGCCGGCGTGGCCGTCGGATTCGGTGTCGGCGTCAACAGCGGCGTACCCTGAAGACTAATGACCAATGGAAGTGCGGTCGGGGTGCACAGGCTCATCGCGTTGCGTCCACCTTCCGTCACCGAGCGATATCTCGCCGGCCTCGCTGACCTAGAAAACGTTTCTCCCTGCAGGTACATACATTAAAGAAGAGTAATAAGGTCGTGGAAACGTTAGAGAAACGTCCCCCGAGCTTTCTCCCCCTCCCCCCCTACGATAGAACGTGCTACGGGATTTAATGTCTCGTCCCCATACAACCCGGTCCTCTGTGTTCATTGCTGATGATGTTTTCGCGTAGATCGGTTTACTTCTCGTGGAAAGAAATTTTTTTTTTTTTTCGAGGAAAGCGTGAACCATCTTCTTTTGATGTCTCTTTATTTCGTTTCCTTCTTTCTTTTTTTTTTTTTCTTTCTTTCTTTCTCCGTACTTGACGAAGTACCTGGAAGCTTTGAGCTTTGAGCGAAACTTGGAAACTTCGAGAAACAAAGGGAGATCGAAGGAATTTCAGGAAACGAACGTTGTTGAGTCGAGACTTGAAAATTTATCAGGGAACGCCGGGTGAAAAGATAACTTCTGCGAGAAGAGGGTACAATCCTCCTGACGACTAAATTAGGATCATTCCCAATTGTCAAACGTCTTGTTTCTAGCAAGATTAAAGAGTTTTGTCAATTACTGAAGTATACAAAGTGCTACACGTTTAATTTCTATTTCTTCCCTTTATTTTCATCGTGTACTTGAGACATATACCTCATAGGTACTTACATTGTTCTATCATATCTGCTGTTTTTTTTTTTCAGAAATTCCTTCAATCATTTGCCAATATACATTCAGCGGTAATAAATAATTGATTATTAGTATTGTCGCTCAATGATTGATAAAACTTAAACTAAAAAACATGTAAAATATCAAGTGATCCTAATTCAATGATCAGTAGAGTTTGTGTCTTTGTAACTTGTTAAATAATGCTTTCCATCGACAAAATGTGATATAACACAAAGTTCAGCAAAAAAGATCTGGTGTCTTTAATTTTATTCGATTATATTTTGTCTTTTACATTTTTCAATGGCAAATTAGAAAGAAAAATTAGAAAGAGCCACCGGGATCGCTTAGTTTCATTTAATAATTTTTATTATTATTTGAAAATTTATGTATTGTCTACAATCTCGTTATGCTTCTGATTCCGCAGAGGGGGATTTATATCTATTTCATATCCAATTGAACATAAATTCTAAACTGTTAAATTAAAACTGAACTTAAACCAGTTTTGAAGATTAACTTCAAAATTGACAGATCTTTTCGTCGAACTCTGTACAAACAAATCAGTGGCATTTAATATCTTCGCGCGAATGCAATACATGTGCTCTTTATAAAATTCCTTCGCCCGGCGTGAATGACACTCAACTTCGATCACCTAGAATCATCGCAAAACAACTTCCACTCACCCTGAACACTTGCACTTCAGCAATCTGACGAACGCAGCCCTGAACGTTCTATTGAAGATCGTGTAGATCACCGGATTGATGGTGGAGGACACGTAACCAAGCCAGAGGCACGTGTCGACCACGTGTACCGGTACCGAGCACTCGGGGCAGGCAGCGAAGAATATATTCAAGAGGAAAAATGGCGCCCAGCAGAGGACGAACGTGAAGAAAACCAGTCCCAGGACTTTGCTGGCTTTTTGTTCCGTTGCCACGGCATTCGCAGCCAACGATCTTCTTTTCGTTCGTCCCGCGAGAAACCTGGAAGTACAAGTTCTTTAAGTTCGAAGCTTGTGAAACTGGTGAAAACCAAACCTGTCCAGAAGGAATTTTTTCCCAATGTTTCGCTGACGTTGCAGTTGGTTTCCTCCACAATCGTGGAGATCGAAGTATCACGCACTGATACTGAAATTAGCTTTGGAAAAAGTTCCTCCTATTAGATATTAATCTATTATAGCTATCGGCGCAATTTCTTGCAAACACCAAATCATAATCGCGAATGATCACTTTACTTTCAGATATTAGTCACGCCGCGGAATTTCCCCTAGATTTCTTTCTCCAGCTTCTCCTCCAAAAATTAATATATATGTATATTATGGTGTGTAATTATTTGAACATTTCTAAATTATTGCAACACAATTCAAATTGACCTGTTTAATTTAATCTTAATTCAATACGGTATATTACTAAATTAATGATCTTTAATTTGATATGACGTGTACTTAACATATTGATAAAAAGAATATTATAGTATCATAATAATTAACTGGCTGAAGTTTCTGCAGAATGATTTTACGTATGTCTGTTCATTGTTGAAATTTCAGAACGATTGAAATATCGTGCCATCGCGAAGAAAGTGACAGAACCTGACCAAAAAGTATGTTTTTCAGGAGAAGCGAAAGCGATTAATTTCGGACAGAATTAGATATTTTGTTAAATAAAAAAAGAGCGCGATTCAAAGTGATACACTTCTCACCTTATCAAATGATAGAAGAGGTATCTATAGAGAAGAAGCACAATGTCATACGAATCAGAAAGATTCCTTCTTGCCAAACTATAAAATGGGACAAGGATTCCTCGTAGTCAGTCAAGAACTATTTCTGTAACATTTTTTTAAAACGATGACTCGAAGGTCGCGTCTTTCAAGTTTTATCCCACTCTCTTCGAATGGAAACGACATGTGAATCAGATTGAAAAAGTTCACACAGATTTTGCAAAGCTATTTATTCAAAATGAATATGACACCTGTGCAGAAAATTAACAGCAGAGAAACGTCAGTAATAAAACGTAACAAAAGTACCAAGTTTTTAATTTTAAAATTGCACTAAGTATTCAACTAACTACGCACTATATATATATATACGCACAATACGCCGTAAAAGTAGCTCGATAGTTTTGTTCCCTTTTTTCAGTCTAACTTTATATAACGCTCGTCGGGGACAACTCTGAACTGCTGAGTAAAAGCTGCTGTCGAGATTTTAAAAGCGTTGCTTTTACTCGACATTCGCCACCCGGAATCTGACAACGATTTTCGCCCGAAGGCTTCGGCTTTGGAAACAGGTATCACTCCGAACGGTGACGTGTATCCAAGACGTGCTATCCCCCAACAAGTACAAGGACACCTGTGTTTGCCCGTTTGATTCGAAATTCGCGAAACGGGTGGCATCTCGAATCGGTCAGCATTTGCACATGCAAATGGCTTTTCAAGACTAATCCTCTCGCGTCTCTCGCGGCTCCCGTGATTCGTTTCAAATCCTGTTTCAAGGATTTTCATGGACTAACGATATCTGCCAGCCAGCAGTTGGCGTTGCTCTTGCTGTTAAACTTCGTCAATAGGGCGACAAATGTTCCCGGATATATCGAATCGTTTTGATTCTTTCTACTTACTGGTTTTATTCGGCACTTCAAAGCAGAGACAAATGAAGAAACTTTCGATGGCGAAGTTAATCCGCGAAAGAAATCGATCGTGACGCTTCGCGTATGTGAGAGACATCGCGCTAATGATTCTTCTAACTTGAGCAGACACTTGAGATTTTTTCCTACCCTGATACGTGATGATTAATTAACTAATTCTTGTCAGTTTCCCGTTTTTTTTTTTTTTTTTCAATTTGATTTGTCCTCATCAAACTGACATAACGAAAAGATTATTTGTTAACAATAAACAGACTAAATTTATATTTAATTGCAATTCTTTTTCCATTCGTATGTATTCGTGCTTTTTGTTCTATTCATCTTCTATTCGTCACTTGTTTACCCTCAATTTTATAATAATTTCGTCATGTTTCAATTTTCGGAAATATCCAGTATTGCAGTGAGTGTAGAAACTATTCGTAGATTCGATGGGAAATTATCTAAAAAAACAGCTAAAGAAATTTCTTCCAAAGACATTTTCACATGATTTAATTTTTCTAAACATCTTTTTCTTATGAAAACGTAGAGCATGCACAAGCATACGAAAAATTGCATTAAGAAATTGTCTTCCTGTAATTAAAGCCACTTCAATCTTGAAGACTGAAGGTCTCTTAAAATTTATTACACGACTGCTTTTGACAAAGTTACAAGAATTCAAAGTATCGATAATTTTCTAATTTTCTATGAAATTAAAAGGACACGTGGCATCGGTCACAAGGCGAAGAGAAAAACGAACAAGCTCCAATCAAGATTGAACTTTCCGTGGTCCAACTTTGTTAATTCCGCGAGATTGCTCAATTTGGGAAATTGCTCTCGAACGAGCCGGCAAAGTGATGAACGCGAGCGTTTCCCTTTTTTTTCCCGCCCGAGTTCGTTCGTCGTCGTGCCCCGAATATTTCACAACGATCGAGAGGACGGAGAAATGAAATCTCTACCTGAGATTTAAGGTGTTGGGGGCGACGTTCAGCTGCAGCTTGAGGGCCCTCAGAGTGAAGTTCCTTGTCTCGCGGGCTATGTTCTCCGGCGTTTGTGTGGCCTGATCCACTTTTGTCGCCAGTTTCGTCCCGGTCGTACTTCCGGTCGGGTTGCTCGCGCCGTTCACGGCGAAATTCAGCTGCGGTTGATGCTTGCTCTGCCTCGCGCTCTTGCACCTGTTATATTTGCAACGGAACAGAGAGTGAGAGCCCCCCCCCTCCGTTTAATTCAGTTAAACTGCAAAACTACCGGCGTTTCGTGAGAACAAGTTACCGGTCCCAGTGAATTGCAACGAGCGTGGACGTCCTTGCGGACGGCGAATGAAACACGGCGAACGATACACGTTGCGTTAATAAACCGTGCATGGAGAATTTCGTCGGAACGGTTAAATAGTTAAACATAGTCTGTTGTTCTCCCAACTGGGGCCAGTTTTTAATTTCTTTTTGAAATTTGTCTTGTCAGTCGAGAAGCTGCGAGGGTAACGTGGCCCCCTTAACGAAAGTCGTGGAAATAATTTTTTGGAAATAATATCACAGGTCAAAAGTCGAGCAATTTACTTTGAATTACTAAACACGCATGTATAGCGCATTTACTTCTGTAGAGTTACATTCTTTTTGTGAGGCACATCCTCGTCATCTTCGTCTGCTGTTTCAGTGCGCGAAAACATTATGTTTAAGATAAGTTTGCACTCACAAACGAAACGTCTATTATCCTTTTGGTCAAAATCTTGTGTTTTGTATCTTAATAAATTCTTTTGCAATCAAGTGCAAGAAGAAGCATTTGTTACTAAATGCAAATAATTTGTTCAAATAATAGGACATAAAACATTCGAACATTACTTAAACAATGGACTACATATTTATCTATATATTTATCTTACTATTACTAGCAACAACTTTGTGTAACATCTAATAAAAAACTCTCTGTCTGAAAATGCACCGTTTACTCTTAATTATTTTTGTTATATAATCACGGAAACCACGAGGGAGCCAAATTGCCAACAGGGGACCACGATACTAACCACTTCTCTGCGGGATTAAATAAAATAGAAAAAAAAAAAAAAAAAAAAAAAAAAGAAAGAAATTAATCGCGTTACTATCTTTTATTTTCCAGGCTAAAACCTCGCCGGCTTCTTCCTCTGCGGGTTAGTTTTTCTAACCGCAATTTTGTATCCCGGTAATTTTGTCTCAACCCTTCCAATCTAGTTGAGCGCGGGGTGAAATAAGAGACGACTACCAACAAAGATTTTTAATTCCATTAATGCGTCTGTTGAATTCTGGGACTGTTGAATTACGTTCGGTGGCACGAACGACGAAGACACCGCATTAACTTAATTGGCACGATTAAAGAGCCTGTCGCTCACTTAACAGCGAAGTGATCAACAATATTCGATTGTTCGCGCATTAATGACATTTGCGTACGTAGATGAATGTAATTGAGATAGAAAGCAACAAGAAACTGTCCAACGTTAATAGTCGGATACTAAAAATTTAAACTGTCATAATTTTGTAAAAAAGAGAGAGAGAAACAAATCTTGCAACAATAAACCTAGACTCTGGATTTTGAAGGCTGAAGCCTATTTTCAAAATGTATTGTTTATTTCATTCTATTCTAAAATGTTTCTACGATTGATACAATTTTTATTATAATGCAGAATATATAAATTCCTTACATCTCGAGCTTGCAAACGAAGCGGTAATGTAAATTAAAGGTTTTGATGCTGTCTTAATGAATTTTTAGCCAGATCTTATTTCCCGTGAATATATCCCACGTGTTCGCGCAACATACGCGAATAAGTTTAGCGGGGAAAAATGGTAAGACGAAAGCAGAGGGGCGATTAATGAGAATTGCTGCGGAAAAATATGCATAGGAAGGAAGGAAGAAAAAACGAACGTGGAGGAGAAGTAATGAAAAATTTAATGAAAGTAAAAATGAAGAGATGTGCGAAGATTCGGACACAGTCGAGCTTTTAGCCAGGGCTCTGAAAGGAAGATTAAAACCGGAAAATGTACGCGAAGATACCAAGTGAAACTGAAAGAGAATAGAAAATTAAAGGACTCGCTATATGTGTACGCTATACGTGTATGGTCCTACTGCTCTAACAATGAGGAAGATAGGGAAAAGAGTGGAAGAGAAAGTTACAAAAGTTCGTCGCAAAATGAAAGAATGACAAAGTTATAATGGAATAAAATTCATATATATGAATTTATATATGAATAGTAAAAAAAATAATAATAAAATAAAAATAATAGCAAAATAAATAAATAAATAATAGTAAAATAAATAATAAAAAAAAATTTATATGAATAATAAATTCATATATATATATCAACATGCATGTAGGAGTTCCAACGAAACTTCTACATGCATGACAAACGATAATTACGACTGGTAACTAACAATAATTTTACATCAAATTGTGGATGTTAATAAAAACTGTTGAAATTTTTTGACTATCAATCATTGGCTATTCGTTATAATCACTATTAATATTTGTTACAAAATCTTTTCTGTTTTCGAGTAAACTATTACAAAATATCGAAATTTTTATTTCATGATTTGTTTCTCTTCATTACATTTTGAAATAAATTGAAGTTTCTATTTCAAATTTCTCCTCTCGAGAGTAGATTTTCTTGGCATGACGAAATGTTTCGTCATACGCGGTTAATAGGTCGATGATTGAATAACTGTTAAAACTGTATCGTTGAAAATGAAGTACAAAATTAACTTGAAACCGAAAAGAGATGACTCACTTGTTTATAAAAATTAACAATTAACGCTCGATCCCTGTAATGTTTCAATTGAGTGTACAAGCTATCCACGACAACGCTGTTCTTTTAATCATTTCAGTCGATACTTCGATTATTTACCTTTCGTTTCCGACACCGCCGGAAGTCCTCCATGTGTACCGCGTAGACGACGACGACGACGACGTGGTGGTGGTGGTCTCCGTAACCGAAGTAGTGGAGGAAGCCTTCGTCGAAAAGTATCTGCCTCCCAACCTTCGAAATTGATCCCGTTCAGGGTGTTCTGCAACGAAACGAGCCTTTTGCCTGAGCAGTTGCACTGTCAGAACGTACGTGGCCACCATGACAATCATGGGGATGTAGAAGGCGATCAAAGAACCGAATACGAAGAACGCTCTGTTGTTGATCACGCATGCTCCTGGCCGAGGCATAATGTTCGAAGGATTTATTATACCTGAAAAACCAATGATAACCTCGATCGATCGTTCACATAATTTTCGATAACAATAACTTTCTGTAGGAGAGATAGACAGGGTTGATAGAGTGAAATCTGAACGCTGTGTACATGTAGTTAAATTAGGGCAACACACACGCGCGCGAGAAATGTATTTTTTACCTGTTTATTATCGTAGGGTATATACGTTGACGTTAGCACGCGTTTAATTAACAATTTTCGACTTTATAGAGGAAATACGTAAATACATGGATTTATTTTTACACGATACTCTCTTTACACGATCGAAAAGTATGTCGCAGTCTACATTTCAACGACCAACTCAATTTTCTGGTGGGTGGCCGAAAGAGTAAAAGTCATATTTTGGTCGAAGTAATGCAAGCTATTTATATTTAAAAAATAGAAAAAAAAGAAAAGGTGATCTATAGTACAGTCTCCTACATTCAAATATTATATCTGGACATTCCATTATCTGAACAGAATATTTATTACAACAAAAGGCAAATAGATGTCGTTCTATGACATATTTTTCGTAATTGTAAGAAGAATTTACTATAATGTGATATTGAAGATTTTACTGAAAAAAAAGATAATATCAATGAATTTTATGACATATCAACGGAGATGTAGCAACACTTTTTCTACAAACTAAAATAGCAAATAAAAATAACGAGGATGCATCTTCACCGACATAAAAGGTAATTCGAACCATATATAAAATGTACATACTTATGCTAAAAAAAATTAAAAGGATATAACATTTTTAAATATCGACATGAACGATACGTGCAATTTAATATCAGAAAAGTGATTGTTCCATTATTCGAAAATTCCACTAATCAAACACTGTTGTCTCTCTGTTTGTGACATAGAACACTCTGCTGCATATTTTTTGCAAGTACACTGAGACGAGACATATATTATTAACTTTCATATCCAATCTCTAGCACATAGTCTTGCATTACACTTTAAATGCAAATATTATGCTTTCCTCCCTTTTTCTGATTTATACTCCTTTGTCCGTTCACCAGAACGAATAATAGTTTCCTTTCTTTATTAAAAATCTGCTCTGCACTGTAAGCGCGAGCTTTCTGAAACTTAAAAAGAAATTTGATATTTGCAGAGTACACGTGTATCTGATTAATCTTCACCGAACATGCAAAAATTGATTTTCGCATGAGAAAATGCCGAGTAAAATATTTCGCCTTGTCTTTGAGAAGATTGAATTTGAAAATTCTAGTTTAACAAACGTGCCGAGTTAATTTTCGATTGAATACGCTTGATCTCCATTTTCTCCGAAAACGGAGTTTTAAACGAAAAAAACTTTACATTTCCGACTTATTCCCGCACATAGAGTAACCTCCTATTGATTTTCGACTCCTATCTAGTCGGGGATTAGGCAAATTCACGTACGCTTAACAAGTTTTCAAACTCGATTTTTTTTCGAAACTGAAGTCTTCAACGCAATTCCGTTCTTCTTGGTTTTCGTTTTATTTTCGAACCATAAAATCATTTTGCTTTCACTTGAACCGCGAATTCGAAACCACGGCGTGTTTAAAGAATACTTGGAATTATGGAAAATATCAAATTTTGTATTTTTGTGAAATTCTTCAAAAGAAAGGAAAAAGTTATGTAAATTTGAACTATCCACAAACGTCGATTTATTTTTATTACTAAATATGATTGAGGATACAATAATTCAAATGTATCGCAAAATTTTTTATTTTTTACTTTTTTTTTTTTGTATCAATCTATTCCAAATTCATGAAAATTGTATTTGTAGGGAACTTTGTGCAATTTCACTGTTACAAAGAAAATTCAATTTGTTATTCATTTAAATTTTCAAACGCTGTAAATGCCAATCCTGTCTGTTTTTAGATTATTTTTACTCAAAAATATGTTTTTAAATACGTTTCCCCTTCATTTCCAAGCAAACTGTGTTACAAATGTATAAAGGATATGATCATGTAATGTCAACTAAGTCAAAGGAAGATTCTGCACATGAAAATAAACCAAAAAGAAAGAATAAGATTTTTTTCATTTAAGATTTCGTTTTCGAGAAAATCGAGTTTGAATTTTCATTTTTTTTCAAATGTATGATATAGAATTTTATAAAATGAACAGGAGTGACCAGTCGACATGAGAAAGTTGCGAAATAAAATGAACAATGTGGTAAAATGAACTTTTGGGATCTTGATTTCAAAAACAGAGTTAAAATGTATTTAGTTAAGAATTGACTATTAATGACAATTAGTATACAATATTCTACGTACGAGAGTAACTGAGAAATGTAGAATAAAGCCTCGTCTTCAAGAAAATAGAACTTGAATGTGTTTAGTACATCAGTGAAGAATTTGCTTCATAATATCATATAGCTTGGTAGATTCTGAGATGAAATTTTTTTGGGAAACGAAGCGTCCTATGAAAAGAATTTCATTTTACGTTTCTTTTATTTATTTTCGTATTCAGAATTTCTTGTCGACTTAATTAGATCAAAGTATACTCGATGAATTTTCGAATTCGATTTCCCCAGGAACATCAGCAAGCTGTCAATGAAAACGAATTGTTATTCTTTCAATTTAGTTTTTCGTGTAAAATCAAATTCCTGGCCGATGGTGTCACGATCTCAAGAGTATCCTGTACATAATAATTTTGTGTTTAACACTGAGATATAAAGTTGCAATTTGGACAAACAGTAAATGCAAATAGGATGCAAATTAATACACTATAAATTGCGAAATTAA